TAATGGGACCAGATGACGACGACGACGAGCAGGTGGACTGCCCGAATAACCCCAGCAGTGACGACCTCATTACGGCGGATATTTCTAGCATGCACGCCCTAGCAGGAAGCCCAAATCCGCGTGCTTTAAAGGTGGCAGGTACGGTGAATGGGTCGGCAGTTCAGGTGCTCCTGGACAGTGGGAGTACCCATAATTTCATCCACCCGGGAGTGGCGGAACGTCTTCAATTGGTCCTCCATCCAGTAACATCCTTTCGTGTATACGTCGGCAACGGTGATTTTCTCTGGTGCGCCTATGCTTGCCCCCAAACGGCTGTTTCGTTGCAAGGCCATGAATTCCTTATTGATTTATATCTTCTGGAGATTCATGGCACCGACATGGTTCTTGGGGTTCAATGGTTGCAGACGTTGGGCAAGGTGTCCCACGATTACGCCCAAATGACGATGGAATTTGTGTGGCAGGGCAAACCCATCACCTTACAGGGCGACACTATCCCTCCCCGGCCGATGTCTTATGGGCAATTCTGTACCATGGTGGCCTCGTCTACGTCGTGGGCTCTATATGAATTGATTGTTTCACAAGCTGAGAAGGCACCGCCCGATGAGACGGTCATGGAAGTTTCGGACGATGTTCCAGCGTCGCTTCGGGCCATTCTCCTTGAGCACGCTGGAGTTTTTGGCTTGCCCACTGGATTACCACCGGCACGTGATTGGGATCATCGTATTCATTTGGTGGCTGGTACAAAGCCCATTAACGTCCGGCCATATCGATACCCTTATTTCCAGAAGACTGAAATCGAGCGCCAAGTACGGGACATGTTGCAGCAGGGTATTATTCGGGTGAGCCATAGCCCGTTCTCCTCCCCGGTCCTCCTCGTCCGTAAGAAAGATGGGACCTACCGTTTTTGGGTCGACTATCGGGCACTCAACGCGGCCACTATACCGGATCACTTCCCCATACCAACGTCAGACGAGCTCTTTGATGAGTTGGGCCATGCTCGCATTTTTACAAAACTGGATCTCCGCTCGGGCTATCACCAAATCCGGATGAACGAGGCTGATGTGTTTAAAACGGCTTTTCGGACGCACGAGGGACACTACGAATTCTTGGTCATGCCGTTCGGACTCACGAACGCTCCCTCTACTTTCCAGTTGGCCATGAACACTCTCTTTCGGGCACATTTGCGTCAGTTTGTTATTGTATTTTTTGACGACATCTTGGTCTATAGCCCCACTTTAGATACACATGAAAAGCACCTGCGTACGGTTTTGGCTACATTACAGGATCATGGGTTTTTTATTAAGCTCAGCAAATGTGCTTTTGGCAAAACCACTATTGAATATTTGGGCCATGTGTTGACAGCCGGCGAGCTTCGTGCAGATCCCAGCAAAATCGAAGCAATGGTGTCTTGGCCGGTTCCTCGAAATGTGAAGCAGCTGCGTGGCTTTCTTGGGTTGACCGGATATTATCGGCGCTTCATTGCCGGCTACGCTGTCATTGCCGCGCCCTTAACAAACTTGCTCAAAAAGGATGCCTTCCAGTGGGATGAATCTGCCAAGGGCAGTTTTGACCGCCTCAAACGCGCAATGACGTCCGTCCCCGGTGTTGCGCCTGCCGGATTTTTCCCAAACCTTTTACGTTGAAACCGATGCATCGGACTTTGGTATCGGCGCTGTTTTACTACAACAAGGCCATCCCCTTGCCTTCTTTAGTAAGAAATTGGGTCCACGGCGCCGGTCGGCATCCACATATCATAAAGAGCTCTACGCCATCGTTGAGGCTGTGCAAAAGTGGCGCCAATATCTTTTGGGTCGCGAATTTATCATCCGATGCGACCAACGAAGCCTCAAGGACCTTTTATTACAAGTCATTCAAACGCCGGATCAGCAATTCTACATTCGGAAGTTGATGGGATTCAAATTCAGGATTGAATACAAGCACGGGGCATCCAATCGGGCGGCCGATGCTTTATCACGGCGTGATGATGATGATCCAGCCATGTTGTTCGTCACCACTGCCCAGCCGCTCCCTCTCCTTCTTGAATCACTAACGCCGCCCTCCTAGACCTGCGCCAGTTGCATGAAGCGTGTGCGGCAGGGAAGGCTCCGGCGCATATCTCCGTACACACGGGGTTACTTTATTACAAACGACGCCTTTATGTCAGCCCGGTGTCGCCCTTGAGAGTTCGTATCCTGACCGAGTTCCACAGTACTCCGCTCGCGGGTCACCAAGGGGTTGAGCGGACCTTTCGTAGAATTGCAGCGGTATTTTATTGGCCGGCCTTACGACGCGAAGTGCGTCAATTTGTGGCCTCGTGTGAAGTCTGCCAAGTGACCAAGTATTTCACGCAAAAGCCAGCCGGCCTACTCCAACCTTTGCCAATTCCGGACCGGGTTTGGGATTCGGCTTCTATGGACTTCATAACCGGCCTGCCCACATCGCAAGGATTCACTGCTATTATGGTCGTGGTGGATAGGCTAAGCAAATATGCTCACTTCGGGCCCTTGCCGACAGGGTTTGATGCGCCACGGGCTGCCCGCCTATTCGTCGATATTGTGGTCAAGCATCATGGGTTCCCTCTCAGTATCATCTCGGATCGCGATTCGATTTTTATGAGCCTTTTTTGGCGGGAATCCATGCGCTTGAGCGGCACTACACTGAAGTTCTCGACGGCTTATCATCCCCAAACGGACGGACAAACGGAGGTGGTAAATCGGGGACTCGAACAATACCTTCGTGCTTTTACTTATGAACGCCCATCCAAGTGGGCTCTATTTCTCCCATGGGCTGAGATTGCATTAAACTGTAGTCATCATGAGGGAATTGGCATGTCCCCCTTCAAGGCTCTTTATGGTAGGGATCCACCGCTGCTATTTTCCACTCTCTCTGTTCGAGCACGCACACTGGAAGTCGAGGCGGTCTTGCAAGAACGGGCTGATTTGCTAAATGATTTGAAAGCTCACTTGTCGAAAATGCAGAACCGTATGCGGGCCCAAGAAAATAAGCACCGTAGAGACGTGTCCTTCGCCGTGGGTGACCGAGTGTTGCTCAAACTCCAGCCTTATCGACAACACTCAGCGGGGCGTCCCCTCTCTGCTAAGTTGGGGCGTCGCTACTACGGCCCTTTCGAAATTCTTGAGCGTGTTGGATCAGTGGCTTATCGCTTGCGTTTACCAGAAGGGTGTCGTATCCACGATGTCTTTCATGTGTCTCTTCTCCGCCCATTTGTTAGTCGGCCAGACAGTGCTCCTAATCCTACATTGCCAGATAGCTTCTTTAAGGGTCGGCCCATATCTGTCCCTGTTACGGCCCTTCAAAGTCGCATGATTTTGGTGGATGGCACCCCACAACACCAATGGCTGATTCGGTGGTCGGACGATGCCGACGGGGGTTTAACGTGGGAACCAGTAGAGGCTTTGTTGCGCCACTTTCCGAATCTTCGCCTTGAGGACAAGGCGGACGTTAACCCGGGGGGAGTTGTTACGGGTGATACGAATAAAGCCCAAAGGGAAACCACAAGCGGGGCCCAAGCGGAGCAAGTCCGCATGGGGCGTCCACGAAGGAACGTCGGGCCACCCCGACGTTATTACGACTACGTTTGATATTTTTATTTTAATATTTCCCTTGTAACGTAGATTTTTCTAGGTGAGCGAATTATAAGCTCCTTCGAGGGTTTCTTTTCGGTTCTTTACCTCGATGCTTTTTTTGAACCGACAGGTTAGATAATTAATTAATTAGGGTTAGGGAATGCTTTCAATATAAAGCTACGGATGTCATCACATACGGCAAGCAATAATAGAACATCCTTCTCCCTACACCTCTTTTCTCTCTCAAAACCCTAAACCCTCTGCTAGGTTGTCGTGCGGCCAACTCGTGCGGCGGCCAGCCTTGTTACGTGCTACCCAAAGGCGTAACAAGTTATGATGTAATAAGTTTTTAATAGAAAGTAAAAATCAATTTCTTTTGAACAAATAAAAGATACGAGTAAAAGAAAAATGGTTTTTAAAGATAGAGAGATTATAACATATACCACTAGAATAACACATTAATTACTCCCTCCCTCCTAAAAATAATTTTCCAATTTGATGGTTTAATTTCTTGAACTTCGATCGCAAATCTGAGTATATTGAATTTTCATGTAAATGTAATATCAATAGATTAATTTTAAAACATAGCTTTGAATTATTTTATTTTTATAGTATATATGTGTGTGTGTGTCTATATATATATATATATATATATATATATATATATATATATATATATATATATATATATATATATAGGGGCCGGTTCCTATGAGAATGCACCTTGTGGAGAGAAATGAGAATAAAATCTAGCCGTTGGATCTGATGCATCGTGCGGCTCAGATTGCATCCTGCGCTCAGATTTCTAGATAGTGCATTTTCGAAGGATTTTGATGCATTTTGACGTGATGCATTTTTAAACCATCTTGGTGCATCTAATTTTGATGCAATCCTGACCCTTAGATCTCACAATCTAAAGTACCAGATTCATTCTCATTTCTCTCTTAAGATCGCATTCTCACCAGAACCAAAATCTATATATATATCTGTGTGTGTGTATATATATATATATGACACACACGCTCAAAAATAATACAAAAATATGACAATAACATAATATAAAAACCAATAATACAAAGTATTTCCTATGATTCCCATGTGAATGAACCCACTTATTTCTCTAATTTAAAGCCAACCCAAATTTTTGTAATATTGATAATTCCTCACTCTGTCTTTTAACTTTTTTTCCTTTTTGTCTTTTTAGTTTTTTAATGCAACATTTTAATGCAATATTTATGTCTAAATACATAATATTAACATAGATTATAAAAATATGATATCTTACTACGGAGTACTATTTATTACGTTTTAAAATGAAACTATTGATATTAAATATATACTTCAATGTATTTTTTTCATAATTTATGATTAAAAATATTGATTGACAAATAAAAACGAAGAAAAAATATAAGGAAAAAAACTAAAGTAGGAGTTAAACATTGAAAGTATACTAAAATAGCACTTTCTTATTTTTATTTCCGAAATAGGAGTTAAAGTGAATTTACAATGCCTATTATTATCATATATACATTACCAAAAAATATTATAAAATGTCCATATAGAGTGTCACGTTATCTCAATGTGAACTCTTATTTTGAAAATAAAAATACGGATCTTCTATTTTAGTATTTTCTCTGTGTTACTCATATTTAGGGTGGTTTCTTAAAATTACACTCCCTGGTTAATGTAACCATTCATATTTTGACTTTAAGTTAAAATAAAGAGTTTATATTTTAGTGGATGTTTCCATGTACTTATAAACTTATCAAAACTATTTATAAACAATTTTGAATTTATAAGTCAGCTGATGACATATTTTTGTGTGCTTATAAGATGACTTATAAGCCAGAAAAAATAAGTAAGTCTTAATTACTTATTTTTAAACCATTTTTTTCATTTCTCTGTTTTGACCAGATTATTAACAAAATTATCCCTCCTTATTTATGAATGTTCGCAAATGATTTATTTATCATTTAAGTCATTTTACTTTCATGAAAGAATATTTGACTTATAACCAGTTTATAAGTTAAAAAATATTTATCAAGAATAAGCCAATAAGCACTTGTATAGAAGAAATCTCCTTAATATTTATAGTTGATATTTCTAACTTTTTCCTCAATGTGATGGGTATATTATTACGAAAAAATATCATAGGATAAATATAAATATAAAGAGTAAATTTCATAAAAGGTCCCTAGTTATAGGTCGTTTTACATATTTAGTCCCTACATATCAAATATTACTAATTTAATCCCCAATTATTATATTCATTTCCACGAATGGTCCTTTGTTAACATTTTCGTTAAGAACGTGGATAGAATTTCAAATTCACACTCCTTTCTCTCCTCAATTAAGCTTCTTCCTCTCTTGCACTCCTTTCCCAAACTCGCCGCTGAGTTTCTAGCTTTGAACCCTAAACCAAAATCATCACTCTTCTCTCAATTGTTTGTGTAAATGGAGGAACGATCATTTAAGTTTTGGGTTTAAGAGCTTCAAACTCAGCGACGAGTTTGAGAAAGAGTATGAAAAGATGGAGGAAGCTTAATTGAGGAGAGAGAGAAGTATGAATAAACAATTTTGTCCACGTTTTTAACGCAAATCTTAACAAAGGACCATTCGTGGAAATAAATATAATAATTGGGGACTAAATTAGTAATATTTGATATGTAGGGACTAAATATGTAAAACGACCTATAACTGGGGACCTTTTATGGAATTTACTCAAATATAAATTAATAGTAGTAAAAGTGTTTTTTTAAAATAAAGTAAAAATGTTTTGGTTATAGAGAGTATTAAAAGAAGTACTGTATTTTAGTTAAGCTAATGTTCTAGAGTATTTGTCCACTTTCATTTTTGCATACCATCCAGTGCATTTCTTTAATCCATTTTATCTTGTAATTTGTATATTAAAAAATTATAGAAATTATATATTAATAATCTATATGTTAAGACAAATCAAACAAGATCACACATGACTATATTTAGGCTTACATATTGAGAGAATTTGTTGAGTCAAAAATCAAAATGCTTATATGAACAGTTTCAAAAGTCAAAAGTGGACGAATATAGCGGGACGAAGATAGTAAAAATTGTTTAGTTTACATTTTCAACCCAAAACACGGCTCCCGCCCGCTATTTAAAGCTCTCTCAGACGACGAACTCCTTCCCATATCTCCTTTCACCTCTCAATCGATTTCAGTCCCGGACCGAATCGAAGATGATAGCCTATTTGCTAGATCGGTACCTGCCGGAAAACGACTCTTCCGATTCGCCGCCGGAGCACGGAAACGACGGCGTTTCTGGACTCGACGATCTGAAGGGGAGCGTAGACTGCGGCTCAATTTCGACCTCCTTCGCCGCGAAGGACTTCGGCGGCTTGCATGCCGTTAAGCCGCTGGCGGTTGTTAGACCGGCCGATGCGGATGACGTGGCGCGGGTTGTTAGGATGGCGTTGCGGTCCCCCTCCCTCACGGTTGCCGCCAGGGGTAACGGCCACTCCATCAACGGCCAGGCCATGGCAAACCGCGGCGTCGTCCTCGACATGAGATCCGTCCCCGGCTCCGAGCTGAACCGGATCGCCGTCTCCGCTCATTGCTCCGATTCCGGCGGTGGCCCGTACGCCGACGTCGGCGGCGGCGCATTGTGGTCCGACGTGCTGAAGCACTGCGTGTTCGGGTACGGTTTGGCCCCGCGGTCGTGGACGGATTATCTCGATTTAACCGTCGGCGGGACTCTGTCCAACGCCGGCGTCAGCGGCCAGGCCTTCCGCTTCGGCCCGCAAACGTCAAATGTAACGGAGCTGGAAGTCGTTACCGGTAACGGCGTTAGAACCGTCTGTTCTCCCTCCGTTAATTCCGAACTCTTCTTTTCCGTTCTTGGCGGTCTTGGCCAATTCGGCATAATCACCCGCGCCAGAGTCTTGCTCCGACCCGCCCCGGATATGGTCCGTTTGATTGACTAATTGATCAATTAATTATTCTTTTTCTTTTCTTACAGTATTAATCAATTGAGGTCTTGTTATTGCAATTTATAATCAGGTGAGGTGGATAAGGGTGGTTTACAGTGAGTTCGACGAGTTCACTCGGGACGCCGAGTCACTGGTGACTCGGGGCAGCTCGTTTGACTACGTAGAAGGATTTGTGTTCGTCAACAGTGATGACCCGGTCAATGGCTGGCCATCCGTGCCGATGGACTTGGACCGGCGGTTTGATCCGACCCGGAAACCAAAGAATGCTGGTCCGGTTTTGTATTGCCTTGAGGTGGCCCTACATTACAGAAATCACGACCATCCCTCCGCCGTTGATTTGGTAAGGTCACCATAACTTTGTTATCCTTTTATTTTAGATCTAGTCTCATCTGAGTATAATTATATTTAGATTTATTTTTGATCTGATTTGATCTAATTTTAAATGAACTGATTCAATGAAAATAAGTAATTGATAATAAATGATAAGTGTAAGAGGGTGTTTTGGGTTGCTTTTAAAAATTACTTATGAGTTTTTGCTTCACCAAAATGTTTTTTGTCATGTTTTCAATCTGCCTCCACTTATAGATTATGACTTCTATAATTTAAAACGGGTTCCAAAAGTGCTTTTAGACAAAGCTAAAAATATTTGTTTTCCGCTTTCGCATACAACTCCTACTTTTCAACTATCTACCGCACTCCTAAAAAACACTCTAAATTGAAGAAAATATATTCTTAGAACTTGTTCAATTCAACTTATTTTTATTGCTTATTTTTATTGGAATCGATTTAGTACATATCAGATCAGAAAGTGTTTTAAATATAATTATATATTCATATTAGATCTGAGTTTATTCCAATCATATTAGTATTTGTAATGGGGCTGGGAGGAGAAAGTCTAATCACAGCCGCCATGCACACCTTAAACTAGAGAATGGAAGGTTAATTATTGAGTGTTTGTTATAAGTACGGATTAATAATTTATTGAAGATTATGAAGCACATGCAATTGACGTTTTCTTACAACTTACTATATGCGCCAAACATTAGCGAGCTTCCAGTTTAATCACGGGGCCTACATATAATGTCGACTATTTAAGTATTTAGTTACCACTATTTATTTATTTATTTATTTATTTGAAGAATAAACACGTATTCTTAAGTTGTTTTTTTCATGTGAATAAATTTTAACTATATAATCCCTACCATTCATTTTTAAATATTCTCTTCTCTCTTTTTAATTCCACTCTAATTCTGAAATTGATCTATTTTAAAATAAATTCATCCAAAGCCAACTCAAAATTGAGTATGGAGTGGATGATTTTTAATTTCTTTTTAGGAGGATGATATTTTTTACTCTTTATAAAGGTGGCACAAAGTCAAAATGGTAATTATTTAGAGGTGCAAGGCAGTGAGGCACCTACCGAAATCTCTTTTGGATTCTTTTATTGGGAGGGTTGGTTTGGCAATTATTTTAGCGTTTAGCTTTAATGTTTTACATTAGTTAGACAATGATATAGAGTATAATTTTTGAATTTAACTTGTATTTTTTAAAAATGATCCAAAACGATGACAACATCAATCGAAAATATAATCCCTAAATTTAAGACGTCCAAGTTGTTATTTTCAAGACCTTGACATATGGTTTTTATATTTTTTTCTATCCTTTTTCAGAAAATTTTGTGGTTTGAAATTATTATTTCTCATAATTTAAAACAGAGGAAATGTTTTCCCCATTCCATAATTTTTTTCTATTGGACTTCATTTATTTTTTTTAATACTACCACTATTATATTGAAACACATTGTATTTTTTTACATTACAGGGAGTAATAAACATTTAAAAGAGTTGACTAAAAAAACAAAATTGAGAGCAAAACAAATTACGGGACAATAGAGTAACTTTTTGACCTTAGTGGGTAAGGTTAAAAAAGTCATGCAAAGATTCTCAATCTTCTTTGCCTTC